GAAAAAGATACTGTAGTAACGCATTCCATTACCCACTGGACCCATTTGGAATGAAACCCCATTTTTTCCAGCATAGCTCTAAAAAAGCCCCAATGAACACGATCATATGCTTTATTGAAATCTACCTTGAGCGCTAGGTCCTCCACCTTGCCTTTCCAAAGCTTCAGTGCATGAAATGCCTCATGGGCCACAATAATGTTATCCTGTATCAGGCATCCCGATACAAAAGCCGATTGATTTGTTGTGATTACCTCCCTCAAAATCCCTTTGGATCTATTAGCAAGAATCTTAGTAATCACATTCAAGTTAAAGTTGCACAGACTGATTGGCCTATAATGCGTTAATGTTTTCAGAGCCTGAACTTTAGGAATAAGGACCAAATTCATATGATTGAGTTCCTTCCTTCAGCAAATGTCCCCCCCGAAAAAAACTTATCACTGCTTTACACACGGATGGCCCCACAACGTCCCAATGGTTATGATAAAAATAACCAGGAAATTCGTCCGGTCCAGGAGCTTTCAAAGAACCCAGCTGAAAAATCGCTGACTTGACTTCATCATCCAACATATCCCAAATCAACAGAGAGGTCATGTTATCCGTAATGACCCTACCCACCACCTCTAAAGCATCAGCCATTCCTCCCCCACCATCTCTAGAAAATAGGTCCGAAAAATAATCGAACAAATGGGAATTAATTTCTGAGTCTGAAGTAAGTAGACCAATTGCAAAATTTGATTCCGTTGACGTCGTTGATTAATGATCGCATGAAAGAAGGTCAAATTTCTATCTCCAAAATCAAGCCACTGAACCCGAGATCTCCTCTACAAAAACATCTCCTCTCTTTTCATTACCATTTCCAACTCTGGAAATAAACACTTCTGTAGGTCCTCATTTTCCGTCGAATGATCTTGGGTCTAGACCTTTCAATCTGCGCTCGAAGTTTCTCTATTTTCCTTTTTCCATTTCCAAACTCCTGTCCACTCCATGCCCATAGCCTCCTTTCACTTCTTTTCAATTTTTGTACAAGTTGAAACATATAAAAGCCCGATTGTTCATGATCCCATGCAGATTTAACTGTGTCTACACAATTTGGACTAGTGGTCCAAAGTGATTCAAATCGATATTTTCTAGGTACTCGAACCAATGGGACATAGCAATTAATCACCAAGGGGCAATGGTCTGATCCAAAGAAAATATCATGAAATACTTGGGCATTCGGGAATAAATCCTTCCATGCAACTGTTGCGAACACACAATCCCATCTTTCTCAAACATTGTCTCCGCCACCCTGATTATTGGACTAGGTAAAAGCATTCCCCTTAAACCCCAAATGCACCAGATCATAATCCAAAACCATTTCTCTAAATTCATTCAGTTGAGAACTATTACACGCCTTTCCCCCTTGCTTCTCCCAAATAGAGCCAACTTGATTAAGGTCTTCAACACAAAACCAAGGATACTGTATCTCCTTAGCCATAGTGATCAAAAATTGCCAGAACACTCTCCTTTCCTGTCGACAAGGAGGAGCATAGATAAATGAAGCCGCCCAAGGTTTCTTACCCGAGTTCGAAATAATACAACGGAAAATATTTTTAGATTTAAATCGAACATCCAAACTCACACTATCTATCCACCAAAGGGCCAGCCCCCCTGAGATGCCGATAGGATCGACATAGCATTTATTCGGAAAGTTAAGGCTACGTCTAATTCTCTCCAGTAACATTCTCTTGTTCTTTGTTTCCATTAAAAACAGCACCGCAAGCCGATGGGTTGTACAAAACCCTCAGAGGATCTGGACTATCAGGGGATGACCCAACCCCTGACACTTCCAGCTGATAATTAACATGAGCCTTGTGGTTGTTCCGGGTCAACCACCACCACCCTGTTATTATTCTCAGGAACATTCGACTCGCTCAACTGGTGAGAATGAGGGAATGTACTTGGCACCTGTGAACACAAGACATCTTCAGACAAGTGCACAACATTCACATTGACTTCACTGCCCAGGCAAGATTGCTCATCTATGGTCTCTCTTTGAACAATAACCTCACAGAGCTTTGCCTTCTTTGGTCTACCCACCTTCCGTCTTGTTGTCTTAGGCTTAGGCTTACTACACACAAGGCTTAAATCCTTCACCGCCACAATTGGCTTGAGGTCGTCAGCCACCCCCTAACCAAGTAAGTTGGTCTTCAACTGCTTCTGAGAATGTTGCTCGTAACAAATTACCTCTGAATGTGGTCTCTTCAAAGATAAGCCTTTAAACACCTGGGATATACTTATATCCATGAGGGAGTTAGGAGGTCTGTGTCGTTCAGGGCTTGGGCTAGTTCCTCTACATGGATCTCTGAATGGGGCCTATCCACTACACCATGAAGACCACTAGTGGACTCCTCAGCGGGCTCCGTAACAAAATAGGAGGATTTGGGCCCACTCGTGGCCTATTTTAGAAAGGCTCACTGCTATCAAGGCCCAGTCCTAACACTAATGCATCACTGTGTAGCCTACCAGGTGAAATTTGAGGCCCAGTTACTATTCTATCAACAAGGGTGGAGAGACTCAACGATGAAGAAGATTCTAGATGCACTACTGGGGTACGTGGCAGGCTATCCTCAGCTGGTAAGGTCTCCGTAGCAGCCATGTCCACCTTATAACGAGGGTCAGATAATACTGTCACGTTCTCTGCCACCTTGCGTGGAGCAGGCGGTTCAAGCCCACGCGCTACACCTTCCGACCCCCCACTTGGGCGCTCCACTGTCTTATCTCCCACCGGGTGGCTGGTCGTCGGTGAGCACTGCTGTTGTCCCAGAAGATAAACCAAACTTCTCGTTGAGCCAGCTCTAAGTTCTGGTCCATACCCTGAATTTAATCCCTCCTCTTTAGAAACAAATTTACAGGAAGCATTATCATGACCGATACGTCCACAATCATAGTAAAACTCCGTTAATTTCTCATATTTATAGAAGACTTTAATCCCATCTCCTACTAGTCCTGTGTTACCTCTACGATGGAGAATAAAACCCTCAAGTAAAGGTTTGACGACATCTACCTCCACTCGCAATCGCAGAAAGTTGCGGTGTAAAAGGAGTCCAGTCAACGGTGCCTCAACCTCCACCAAATACCCGATTCTATTACCAATAACTTCCCCATGACCTTGCGTCATCTTGTCAATTGGAAGGCCGTGAACTTGAACCCAAAAAGGACTCCAACGAAATTCCAACTCAATCGTAGCCCTTCCGAGTTGGAGTGGCTGAAGGACTAGCAGATTGCCCATAACAGACCAAGGTGACTCGTCAAGAATTCTCTGGCGATCCCCAACATCTTCAAACTGAAAGAAATACACATTGTCATTCCATGGTGTAATGGAGACCCCCGCTCTAATTTTCCAAGCCCCAAGGAGAATATTGGACACCGCTGGCTTGTTTAAGAGCTTTGGGGCCAAAACCTTTCCCACCAAACATCGGTGAGCGACATCTTCACACTCGTCTGTCCCTTCCAACAGCTCAAAGGAATCCATATTCTGACTACAAATAAACCCACACAAACGCCTAACCACCACAGGGGCGAACACCTCCGACGAGGAACCGAATCAAGAGAAGAACCCTAGCAACTACCAAAAAGCAGAGGAAGCTCTCACAAAAGGAGAGACAAAAGTTCTAGTCTTCATATCCACATACTACCTTCGGTTTTTTGTTTTGTTTGGACTTTGAGAATTGTGACGACAACCATGCGTGGCAATTTCTAATCCTTACAAGTGGACTCATGTGATCTACGCCAACATGACATCTTTTCCAAAGTCCATAAAAAAAAATTGTCATATAGTCTGTCGCATATTCTAATGGTTATGTGGGGACATAATTTTTGAATGACAACACGTGACCGAGGTGTCACCAAGGTGCCAGCCGAGGTGCCACGTGTCCTGGTCATGACGCCGAGATCATCTCAGCTAGGCCGAGGTTATCAGTGAGAATATCGGAATCCGGAATAAGCGGATAAGGGACAAGAATCCTAGAATGAGAGAAGACTTCAATTTGGATAAAGATAAGACTCGTAGAGAGTTTATCCTAATCCTACTAGGAATCCAAGATTAGCAGTAATCCTAAGTCCATTAGAGCTAGGCTTCTATTGGGACTAGAATTGTGTTGGCTATAAAAGAGAGGCACCCTCATGGGTCTAAGGTATGCTTTTTATGCTCTGAATAGTGAGTTAAGCACTTTTGTTATCTTTGAGAGATAACTGACTTGATCGTCGGAGTGCCCACGGGGGGACGAACCACCGCCGGAATCTCTTCTTTTTATGACAGGTCGTTCGGGCTTAATCTTTTCTGCTAGTGTTCTCCAGCTGAGTGCTTGATTGGCAGTGTGGTCGGAAATTGACACACACAATTTGGCGCCGTCTGTGGAAACGAAAAGAGAATAGATGGCCAGCGACGAACAAAAAGAAAAGGTTGGGGATGACACCCCTACTAAGAGTAGGAAACATATTGACCTTGACGTCGAAGAAGACAACTACAACAAAGAGACTCGTGATGGGAGTCATGGAGGAAAGGACGCCGACCAGGAGGGCGACGTGCCAAAGAAATCGAACCGGAGTGGGTATTATAATGAGGACGACCTCCAGGTATGGAAAGATAGATGCCTGCGGAGGGACGACGAGATGAAGGGAATGGCAGACAAATTGGCAAACCTGCAAACAGTCGTTGTAGACACCCCATTTTTGACCCTCCTCAAGACTTGGACGTCATCGTTTGAACACTCGGTGATCATCCATGTTCGTGTTCGTCTTGAGTTCTCGAAGGTTTCGATCGCACACCTTGCCTCAAGACCTCTCGACTTGTTTGTTTTGTGCTTGGTTGTGCACCAAACATTTGTGTTTTTGCTTCTGAGGGCAGGGAATGGCTTGTTGGCCATCCCCACACCTCACCGCCATTGGCTTGAGGCCACCGGCCCTGTTTTCTTGCTATCGGCCAAAGATTTTGGTCGGTTGGCAATGTTTTTGGTCGGCCGGCCATTTTTGTTGGTCAATCGACCATTTCTGCTGGCCGACCCTTGTTCATCTGCTTTATGCAGATATTTAGTGCCAGCTGGCACGCACAATTATTCTCCTTCATACACGTGTATGGAGGGATTGGCTCCTTTGCTTAGCTTCTCTTGGAAGCCTTAGAATTGAGCCTCTATAAAGAGGGAGCCCCTCCTCCCTCTTCCAGGGTTGCAAAAAAATTAGGTTAGAGAGCTTAGATATAGTTTTGTATCTATACTCCCTTGTTTGATTATATTTTGTGCCATAAAGTGAGTTTTGTCTTACTTTTGCACCAGAGCACCTAGCATTACACCATCCTTGGGTTGTTGAGGCCTTAGAAGGTTGTTGTTAGGGTTCTTGGACTGGTTTTGACCAAAGAAAGGTGCTGGAGTGGTGTTCTTGAAGAGGTTCTTCAAAGGTAAGAACCTACCTTCTTTATTCCCATTTTTGCACAAGGTTTTAGCCTATCTTGCTTCTTGTTTTGAGCTTTGACTATAACTGATAAAAGTTCTAATTTTGTGTGTTTTAGAACGTTGTTTAAGGTCACTTTGAGGTTTGGGGTTGTCTCCCCCCTCCAAGGCCTTGTTAGGCCTTGTTTTAGGCCATACCTTTTGACCATTGTTTTGGTCTTTGCATGACCTCTCTACCACTGAAATCTAGAGGATTTTTAGTGGTGGAGAGGTTGTTTTGAGGTCCTAAAAAGGAGAGGGTCATCCCCTCTCCTTGTTGTCTTTAATGCTTGCATAAATGGCTTATGTGGTAGCATGTGTGTTTAGTTTGTTTTAGCTCTATTTCAGTATGTATTAGGCTTTGTTTTGCCATGATATACCTCTATTTTGAGTTGGTTTAGACATGCCATGTATGCTTCATACACTTGTCTTGTAATCCCATGATTTGGCCTTAACATGCATTTTGTTGTAACATGTGTTTTTAGCATGATTTTGGCTCAACTCCATGAAGCTTTTAGCATTGTTGTAGCATGCTTAAGCTCTATTTTTCATTGTTTTGGTCATGCATGCATTTTTTTGTATAGCCACCATGCAATCTAGCTTGTTAGCTTTGAGTGTCCAAGTTGCTAGCATGCTCTATGTGGATCATTTTAGTGGTTTGGCATCACTTAGAATGTTATTTCAGTCCATATTTCATGCTTATAAACTTACACTTATCACTCCTTTAATGTCTTAAAGAGTTTGTGTTTTATGCCTCATGAATGTGTCATTGTGTATGCCAACATGTTTGGGTATTCGGGATGACATCTAAGTGGGTTTTTGGGCTCATTTTGATGTGTCATACCTCTGATTTTGGTTGCCTAAATCATGCCATGTTTGGTTGCATTAAGTGTAGTGTAACACCTCTTTGATGGCCTTGCATGCCTCATGACTTTTCCCCTTTATTTTAGCTTGTTTTGGCTTTGGTCATTGCATGTTTTAGGCTTACTTTAGCATGATTTAGGACTGTTTTGGGTCATACTTGCCATATGCTCTTTGTTTTGTGTAGTTTTGGTTCAAGTCCCTCGACTAGTCTTAGGCTTCAATCTTGAGCATGCCATGCTTGACTTGTTTATGTGATTTGGCATCACTTCTAGCTTCATTTCAGAGCATGTTATGTTGTCATATTTGCATGCTTTTCATTCCTTTTAAGTGTGCTTAAAGGTTGCCCCTTTTGTGCTTAAAGTGATGGGCCATTAGCATGCATGCTTGTATGTGCATTTTCCCTCATGCCCTTAGCATTTTGGCCATTGTTTTGGACCTATTAGAGAACTGTCCATCTTGGTGTAAGACCATTCCCGCATGTTGTTACATGCTTGCCTTGCATGTTGTCGCATACTTGGCCTATTAATATGTTGTTGCATGCTTAAGTGGTAGTGCATTTGGCATGCATTCTTTTGGTTTTACATTGCTTAACATGTTGTTACATGTTTGCCTCACATGTTGTTACATGATTGAATGATGTCACATGCTTGTTTTCATGCTTGTCTTTGCATATTGATTATATGCTAATTGCCTTGTGTAACATTGTAGCTTGTATGCTCATTTTGCACTAGTATGCTCGCATGTTTAGGTTACATAGTAGTCAAGCATACATCCCTTGCCTCTTGATCAATCATGATAGAGGTTGGGGCCCCTTACGTGTTATGTGCATTTCATTCCATATTGATTTGCACACTTGGCTCATTTGGCCATCATGCATCGAGATGCGTGATTGGTAGCCCGAGGGTCGAGAACCATACTCCTTTGAGTCTCAAACATGATAAGGAGGGTGGTGGTGCAAACATTGCTTTGAAAATGCACTGTCATGCTCTGTTTGTCCTCTGCTGCAACAAAGCAGGATTCTGCAGGAAAAGATGGCCGGTCGACCATCTTCAGTTCCGGCCGGCCATTAATTGTTAGCCGAGATTACCACAAATGGTCGATGACCAGTTCCCCATGGCCGGTGGCCTCACCTCTTGGTCGGTGACCTCCCAAAACCCTCAGGGAGTAGTTTAGAAGCAACTTTGAGACTTGAGCAGTGTTCAGAGGTGCAGAACAGTGTAAACAGAGACAGCATGAGTATGGCGATGGATTTCCGAGTGAAGCCGTACAAGCATGCATGCATCCCTCGCCTCGAGACCATTTCAGTGTTTTAATAACTTAGACTGGTTATTTATTTCGATTTGATTGTGTAATTAATTAATTAGCTTGTTAGTTGATTAGTTAGTTGATTGTATTATTTATTCGGTCCCTCCCTCGAGAGGGCGCAATTGTCTAATAAGCGTGCGTGTGTGTGATGCATGTCTTCCAACCCCCACTTCTTTCTCCCTCTTATTTAACCACTTATGATGGTTAATTTTAGGGCATATTTGATTTAGCATACCTTATGCTATGCATGTTTGCATTCATTCATTTATACGGCGCATCATACTAACTACATTGTATTTCAATTCCAAACTTGAATACGTGTATTAAATTGCCGCATATCATATGCCATCTTAGATTAGCCGAGCCTATTCTAATTGTATTTCGTATGTGTTACATTAGCCATCTTAACATGGACTTGGATCATACATTTGATTACTAACATGTTCTTGTTTTGGCTCGGAGTACACTGTGAGTGTTTATGCTTTAGCATCTTGCATGTGTGTAAGTGTTAACATGACAGCATGCTTGCCATGAGGCTAATTGCTTATGTGATATAACTGCCTGAATGCCTGTGGGTGAAGGTTAGATTACTTGAATTGGAACAATTCATCAAATCCGCATTTTAGCCAACTTGCGAGTAGAAAACTTCAAACCATTTCCAAACAAACGGATATGCGATGCTTTGTTCCAAATTAGGCGATCTAGTCTATACTTGTGTGTTGTGCGCATCACATAGTAAATTCTAGCTAATTAACCGGAATAAGAACACATATGTTTTCAAAACTCGATATCATGCTTAGTACAGGCCGATCTTCGGATCGGGTGAACGGGGGTGCTCATTGATGACCTTCCCCAATCGTACCCAAGTTCCCGAGCCGAG